AAGGCTTCGCAGCAGTCGATATTGCTTATCTGTATCATTGACCTGATAGCGCCCTGCCGCTGAATATCCGGCCAAGAGGGAGTCAAAGCAAAATCTCTTCAATACATCAAACTGGCAGCAGAAAGTCCACTCGATGGCTCTAATGAGAGCCTGAGCCTCAGCCGCCTTGATATCGGAATGCAGTGCTCCGGTCCAGCCATCAGCCATAGGATCAGTAGTCACCGTGCCCCATTCCATTGCTATGAGATAAATGTCATCACCTTCATATCCCATCACTGCAAAGGCCCAAGCCGCCTCACCTTCCGTATGGCCCTTGATGACAGAACCATCTGTATAGATCTCAATCCTTTCCAATTCCTGCGGTGCATCTATCCGAAGTGTCAGAAATTGCTGGCGAATAGGTTCCGGAAGATCTTTCAAAATAGTGGCCCAGTCATGGGAGTCCAAGGAGGTCGGCATCTCCAAGAGTCGTAGTACGGAATCAAAGGCTGGCATCTTGATCTCCTTCTCTCGTAATAAGTCAGACAACACAAGTTGCTTCGGAGAGGAACCCACCTGCTCTGGGAGGTGGTTCGCCAACAGCAATGTCTGTCGTGGCTGGGATTGTTGGAACAGCGAATGCAACTGCAGAACTGGAAATCCAAAATCAAACACGTACTCAATGCCTCCATCTGTGACCCAGTCGTCCATGAGCCACATGTTCTGGGAGATCCAGCAGATTCTGTGGGAAGTGGTATTGCCAGGAGGCGGAAGCCCTTGCACTGGCGAAAGGCAAAAGATTGCCTCTCGCCAATACCTCTCCCGCCACCAATACCCATCATGATGGTCATAGCAAGCCTGGGGCCGTTGATCAACAAGTAGATTATTGACCCGTCCTTTCCAGGCAGCCATATCCATTCTCGACTGTCCCGTTTGGAGTGTTGCAGTGTTTCCACTCTCACGGCCCTTTTTCCGAAACTTGCACACCTCAAGTTGCAGAAACCCCGTAAAGTCAGAGTCTGACTGCATCAATCCCAGCTGTCGACGCGGCTCCAAGGTATTCTCTTCTTCTTCTGGATTGTATTCGCCTTCTGGCAGCACAGATTGGTCCAGAACAGATTCCGCTTCCCAGGTGTCATGTGTAACCACATTAAGCAAGCTTCCCGTCCATGTAGTAGATGACTGTGGCTGCTGCATTTGCAAGTCACTATGAAATGCAAAGACAATGACACTTCCAGGAGAAAGGCGGACATCTTGGTACCCATGCACCAGCTGACCATCCAAAGTCATATCATAAGGACGGAACAACCGTGTGCGTTGTTGGATCCAATCTTCAATGCACGCAATTCGCTCAAATTGAAAGGCCATATAAATGTGGTGTAGCACCAAGTCAGTTGCATAGAGCTGGATCACAATAGGGACTCTATCGGCAGGCATCTCTTGGACAACCATGATAGTAGGCGTATTCTGGATCAGCTCTACTTGTGTTGGGAATGCCCTGCTGTACTCCCGAAAAAGGGGGAATGTCATTTCCTGGAACCAATCAGACAGCAAGCAGATTGAACATTCCTCAGTCAACATCCAATTGGGGCAAAGCCCCTCAAATCGGTCCGTGCCCCCAGCATGATAAGCGATGATATTGACGAGCACAGTGTTCGGCTGCACTCTGCGCGGCCAGTGTCTGTCATATTCCGTCAGACATCTTCTCACTCGGCCCCAAGTCAAAACCCAATCATATTCATGATTACACACCGGGTGGAGAGCGGGTGGTCCACTGCTCGCACTGGATACAACAATGGGCCAAGAGGATGGTGGGCCAGGTGATTCTGTCGAAGACTGCTCTGCGCTCTCTACTCTCTCCTGCTCTGCCCCTGAAGACGACGATGCCATATGCACCTGCATCAGCATGTGGTCATCGATTTCTCCAGCGTCACTACCAGAGGCATGCTGTAGTACTCCAAGCGCTTGCCCAACAGTCCGTCGATAGGCTGAGGATCCGATTGGATGCACCATGCTTGCCACATGTCTGGCAACATCACGATGGTCAGAAACCGAGTGTCTTCGTTCTGTTTCACAGACTCGGAGAGGACGGTTTTGAACCGTCAGCCTTACCAAAGAGGCCATCGGCAAAACAATGACATCATGATCAAAGAAATCTCGACGGCAAACCCCATGTACGAAAGTGACTGTGCAGACATGCTCGTCATCACACCATTCAGCAAGGCCAAGTAGCCTAAAAAGGCGATCTACAAAGCATGGTTCAATGCAATGCACTGCCCTTCTCACCCGAGGCGGGTGGAGTGCATGCTCAACAACAAGAAGCAGGGGAGCATGCCGGAAGTTGGCATAAGGCACAAGCAACTGCGTCACATGCTGCCTCTGGGTCCCGATGACATCAGGGAGAGGAGGAATAACAGAGTACAGAATGACATCACCAATTTGTAGTCCTCGAGCCAGACTACTAAGCTGCTTCGACCACGAGGTGGCATCATGTAATCCCCACACATAAGGCCTTCCGAAGACTTGATCTGACGTCTGGAACAACCACCCTGAGATCTCAAGGCGCCCAAATTGGAAGCCATGTCGCAAATAGTGCTCTAGGACATAGTCAAAAGAACACTCTCTTTCTGCAGGGTATGCCTCATTGGAGTGAATCCTCAACGGCATAATCCACGAAATGCGTTCTTCCGAACAAAATTCCAGGTGCCTCAGAGATATTGCAGAACGACCTATATCGAACATACCGGCAACATTGGTCTGCATGAGTGCCGACTCCTCCATTCCCGCCTTCCAGGTGTCATCAATTTCGTCAAGATCAAAGGCTCTCCCTGATTGAAGTAAAGTCATTTCTTCAGTTTCAAGTCGAGTATCAAGGCTCAGTCGACGTGTCATATCGAAGTCGCATTGTTCTCGCAGATCAATCACCTGCAAATCAATTCTCATGCCTTCAATGACCTGCCACGCCACCAGGTTAGGCAATTCCTGTTGATCATAGCTTACTCTACATCGAAACATCTCTGTTTGGCAGAAGTCCTGGAGTGTCAACCGACGTAGTAGCTGGGCTGTCGTGATTCGGGAAGGAAGCCTATAGCCTTTAAGGACCGGCGCAATGCCGGGCCGAACACCTAAGGCAACTACCAGAGCCATTCTATGATCCGGCTCGACAACACGCCCCACCAAAACGCAAATGGCCTCGGTCTCCGTCTGCTGAACAGGGGTCGGCATGGGCTTGACAAAAGATAAGTAGAGTCTATCCCTGATATGCACCTCAGGTTCAAGAAACCTACGAATCTTATACACCAGATTGCTCTTTTCAAGGTCGAAATTCTGATGCAGGAACAATACTGTCCTAGCCAAGCGAAAATCCGCACCATAGAACCGAATCGGTGGATAGTATCCGGTAGCTCCTCGCAGGAATCGCATTTCAGGTTCAACGAAGTCGTAGTTGACAATGACAGTACGAGACACAGCTCGTCTGACCAATGCCCTCCATTCAGCCTGCTCTTGCCTCATGACCATAGCATAGTCTTCGATGTGTATGGCCTCCGCATCATCAACCACATAAGACCGCTGCAGGAGCTGGAATAGCCCAGTACCCTCAACATCCTGTGTCATGATGGGAGATTGCAAAAACAAAGTCTCGTCTGATTGTCCAAAGTGTCCTCTGACTTCAGATGATTCATCAAGCACCGATGAGTCGCAGACTTGACTTTGTACATGACGGACAAGGAAGCTGGCTCCATGCAGCTCATCCACCACATCTAGATACTGCCATGTTTTGGTCACACCATTCTGCACTCGCAGCAGGAAACATACCAACCTGATGCATCGTTCCCCATATCCAGTCCGAGCAATAATATCTTTGGCGCTCTCTTTCCCAGTTGAAAGGATGGCATGGGTATGCCGAATCGGATCAAAATTGTGATCAAGCATATATACCCGGTAACCAAGGCGCAGAAGATCTCGTGTTGTGCCCACCAGGTTTGGAAAAAGAGGATCACGAAAGACCGCTTCATTGGTCTCCTCTCGCACAAGGCCAAGATCTTGACCATCAGCTCTTACTCTCAATGCTTGCCAAGTCCTGGAAGTGAGGGACCCTGTCTCATCAACCAAGACTCGACTAGGCATCCAAAGGAGTTCATGGAGATACACTGCTACCCAGACTTGTACAGCCTTGATCCGAATGTTGTGCCTGATCTCAAGCTGTCGAACTTGCTGTAGAAGGGTATCAGCCTCTTGTCCAATCTCAGAGCCAATGAAAACAATCTTTGTAAGATCGTCATCGCCTTGCCCCAGAGTTGCAGTGTTATCTCCTGGCGGCAATGCAGGAGTTGCAGTGTTTCCTCCTGTGGCAGGTGCAAAATCAGCCGAGAGCTGCATCAGTGATGTTTGATCCATTGAACCTTCATCTGAGCCTCCTCTTGGCAATATACCCTCCACTCGGTCATCGGTCACACCAGCCTGCATTGAAGTCCCATCAGTCCAGGTCTCATCGTCTGTGTCTTGATCAAAAGCTGCTTCATATCCAATACTCCCACACGATGTACTGTCATTGTCCTCCAGATTCTGCCAGGCAAATAACTTGATGAAAGCCCCACCAGAAAGGGCAACATCATGGAAGTATTCTTTCCTGGTGCCTTCAAAGATGGCGTAGCATCTGAAATCAGTCTCGCAGTCAATGAATGGCAGAGCAAGGTCAAACAGAGTCGACAGCAAAATCGGTGGAGATCGACCAGGTACTAGCAATGAGAACAAGTTATGTCGCAGATTAACGCTCGTCTGGCACAGGATTGGGATCTCCAGGACTGCTTCAGGATTGAGTCCGGTCCACAGTGCGAAAGGATTGGATCATTTTGTGGTTAGGCCTCTCTGCACTTCACTCACCACCTACAGTTTCGTAGTTGCACAAAACAAACAAACTCATGAAGTGTTGTTCCTCCCCCCGGACATATTGATTTGATGTTCAGGTGGATCTCCTCCGTCGCACCCCATCCGGAAGGAATGGATTCCGGATTCCGGGCCATGTTGGCGTTGGCATTCTGTCGGGCTTCCTCCAACCTGTCCGTGCACTTGGCGCGTGACGGGGAGGGCGTTGTCCGGAAGGAGTGTTGTAGGAAAGCGTTGAAAGAGGAGGTGACAACAGGCACCAAGTTATGCAAAGGTTCCATATGGGACTGGAAGAGTTACCAACGTGGATTGGTTCATTTGGATGGGACTAATGGTATGCATAATTTGGATCTATCCTATTACCTGTAACAGTGGAAGATGATGGTTGGTAAAGGCTGACTGTTACAGGTAATAGGACAAGCCCAATGTATGCAACCTTGGGAGTAGACAGTTGGATGCTTACCGTTGCTGGAAGAGCTACCAACATGGATCGGGTCATTTGGATGGGAATAAAGGTATGAAATAGACCGAAGAAGCTACTAGGAACAAAGGGCATCGCTACGAACGGAACAAGAACGCTACGAACGGGGCTCCTGGCCTTACTACTAGGAGCAAGTACGCTACGAACGGAACAAAGGGTATGTATGATCATTCCATAGATGAATGGTCACGGTGGATGTCTGCCGGCTGTCATGCCATCCGACTCTGAATGGTGCGAGAATTGGTCTGGTGCGTTGGTCGGATGGTCTGAATAGGCTGATGAATATTCAACTCCCCAAAATGATTTAGATGCAGTTTTACCATTGAAGCTTGGATTCATCCAGAATCCAAAAAATATCGTGTTCTTCCAGATTCTTCCGTCCACTCGCCCCCACCGCGCCGCGCCCGGAACACCCGTCCACACGTCTGCTTTCCTCCGCTCGCTCGGGGTGTCTCGCTCTCGCTCGCAAAATCTCGCTCCGGCCAGCGCGTGAGGTGGTTGAAGGTGTCGCGGCGGGAGATGTCGTAGACCTCGGAGGTTCGGAGAGATCTGGATTTGGATCGGGATCCAGTCGCACCTTCTCAGGTGATTGGAGACACTGAGACATGTAGGGGATGGAAGGGTCCAGTCGTACCTTCGTTAGAAGGTACGACTGGATCCCTATAGGATGGAAGGGGCCACATCACATCCGGACGAGATCAGAGATATGCCGATAGCACCGGAGTGTCCAAGGGGGATGGTTTTGGAGTTGGGTGGTTTCCAGGAACACCCCCAGTTCCGAAGTTCGTTCAGCATCGCCGACATGGAACCTGCTGGTATGTTTATGGATGCATATGGCATGTATGTAAAATGTAAGTATATATAGCCCTACTGTATAACCTTTAAACACCATTAAACGAATGGTTGACCTGGTGTTGTAGTCTGAAATCCTCAGTAAAACCAAGGGTTCTTTGAATAAAAAGGCGTCTGAAAAACGCCTCTTCAAACGCCCCAGTCGTCTGGACATGGTTGGACCGAAAAAGGCGTCTGAACATTGGGTGATGAAGGTGTTCGTTAGGTTGCAAACCATGCAAGCATCGTTGGGACTGGAACTTGCGGGGCTTTTTGAAACGAGCGTCCAAAAAGAACTCAAACTTAACACTGCTCTCATGCACTCTGGAAAAGTGATCCTATATTGTCCTGATAGTCCCTGTGACTGATGATCTTGGTTGTTTCATGTGCTTTGAGCTTGGAGTGACAAACTCCTGAAGGGTGGAGTGCTTGGCATGTTGATCTCTTGAGACACCAGCTCTTTGAAACATGTTGAAACACAAATAAACACTGCACAGAAATGAACTGTTGCTTTTGAGGAAACAAATGTCGCAACTCCTCAAGGGAACACACAGGACTCTCCAGGGTTGCGGTGTACATGCTGAGGATATGTCCGAGTTGGGGGTTCAATCACCTATTAATTTATATATAAGAAAAACACACTCTACTGAAAACATCGAGAAGAGTTGGAGGGCGGTTCATCCGTCGTGTGGGTCCAAAAAGACTGGTTCACCCACCCAGCTGGAGGGCTCTAGTGACTAAATACTCTCTCTCTCTATATATATATATATAGGGAGGGACCACAAGCTGCATGCCTTTGTATACCAGGCTCGTTTTCCGGCGGGGGAGTTGGACCATGGGGAGCCTCGCACAACCCTTTCCGAGCGTCGCTCTCTCCACTGGTCGAGCGAAACGAAGTGGCTTTGGATCACCGGGGGAACCTGGTTGACCACCGAACGGATACTTGCACAGCAAGAGTTCGGCGCCACCCAACCGCCCGGTACAGGGTGTGTGTGTGTGTGTCTGTATGATCAATGAACTTGCCTTACTGAAATCGATCCGCATCACATCTCAATCACAAAGCACGCCAAACATGCAAAAACACAAAAGAGGGGAAAGCAACGAAGAACCTATATAACCCAGAAGAAACATGAAGAAACAAGAAAAAATACCACACGGGCCAAGGAGTAAATGTGAGAAATGTGGCATCGAAGGAAATGAATGACGCACCACAGCAGTGTTTCATCTGGAACCTGAATTTCATCCAAGCCTTTGTTGGCACTGATGGCATCCCCTAAAAACTCCTTGTTGACATGTCCATGTTGTTTCAGACAAAGAGTCCTGGACGTCTGAATCACCGACACGGCCAATCGGGATGACATCGTCTCGTCAGTGTGCATGGTTTTTGGTGCAGTCTCGGTGCAGTCGACAAGCGCGTTTGGACTGTAACGGTGGACCATCGAACATGAACAGAATCATAGACTACTAACTATAAAGTAGGAGTTATATACTAGGGAGGTCAACCTACCAGGATGAGTTCAGGGCCCCCGGTTTAGACCGCCAAGTGGCCAGAAGTGCTCCACTTGCACCTCGGTAGTAGGACCTGTGCCGGGCGGTCGTAGACGCCCCACGCTTTCGCAGGTGACAGTCCGCTTTCTAATTGGATGAGGGTATACTCACTTCACTATACTTTGAATAGCTTGGGCTGGTGAATCTCACCAACATGGGCTTCTAATCTCCCACATCTGAAGCCCACCCGGACCCCTGCGATGGGCACCGCACACCGCGCGGAAAATGCGCGCGGTTCACAGACCACCGCGCCTGGTGATGGACCGGAAGGACTCCTGTCCCGCAGTATCCCAAATCTGAAGCCTTGGAGAGATGGGCCAACTGGAGAGGAGAGAGGAGAATGAGAAGTATGTTTGCTGGGTTTGGTACTGTGGATTTGGGTGGGCTTTTGGTGGCTTCGTTTTGGATTAGTGCTTCGTTTAGTTCTGGGAGTCTGAGCATATTTTCCTGGGAGATGTGGATACAGAACTTCAGATGCCATGTAATGGCTAGAAACACATGGAACCCCAATTCATGGTGTATCTTGGTGTATGTTAATAAGGTATATAACTATAGGTATATGTATATTGTATTGTATAAACAATACTTATTGAATCTTATTGATATCTGATATACCATCCTTGGGGATCCAAGTACCTTCTCAGAAGGTGATTGGAGACACTTTTATGATCTTTTATGTAGGTTTGGAGGGTCCAAGTTCCTTCTGAGAAGGTACTTGGATCCCTAAGGCATGATATACCTTTCGAACCCCCTTGCATCATTCTTTGGGTCACATTCCCCGTCAGAACACTCCCAGCACCATGGGGTTCGGCCGGAGACCGAGTCAAATGGATGCCCAGAGAGACAAACCTACCTGCATTTGAATTGGATTCTTGTGCCAAACCATCCATGTATGGCATATCTACTGACATATTTATTGCGCATTATATATGAAAGGAAACGAACCTATAGGGAAATATGATGAAATATGCCAGTCCATTGTCCATCTCCGCCCTAAAAGGAGACCCTGCAACCATCGGTGTTTCCGCCGTGGCAGGTGGGGCTTGGTCCAGTTCAATTGGGGTCTGAAATCCAAAGAAGTTCGCTCCTTCCGTGGAGTTCGCTCCACAGACAACTCCATGAACCAACTCCATGCCTTTCCAGAAAAGTACGTAGCTGGGGCAGGACGACTGGAGAGAAGAACACCCCAGGAGGACCACGGCAGTGGTCCAAAAACATGGTATAATGGCTTAGACATGCTTAGACCCTGCGATAGATCATCTCTTAGATTAGTAAACCCCCCTGATTTGAACTGAAAGTCTTCTTCATATGGGAGGAAAATTAATCAAGAGTCTACATTATTAAACTAATGTGATCATCATATTCATCTCAGGGCTTCATTCGTGCTGGCGATCAACATGTCTGACTCCTTCGTTCCTGCTAAAGCCTTGGCCTTTCGACCCAGTTGACCCACCCATACCCACGAATCGTGTTTTCTGGTTCTTCCACTACCAACCCGGTCATCCCTATGGGGCCATGCCATCCCACGAACCCAGAATCATTCGAGGGGGGGCCATGTCATGATTCTTACTAACTTTGGCAGTTGCAGGGAGCCATCCACATGTCATCGTTGGTAAATTAATGTAAATTGCCTAGACAAGTGGCTTGATCTGCTTGTTGTCGATGTTGATCAACCTGGCACCTCAGGAAGCTCCGTGGACTCTCGCGGTGCCCTCGGAACACTGGTCCCTCAAAGCTGGCGTCGTAAGCGGAGAGCAATGCTGCTAATCGCTTTACTCACTGAGAGTGACATAATTAAAGTGACTGATGGTGTCTGATATATTATATTTATTATATTAATAGTCGTACAGTACGTACATCTCGCTTCGTTCATTGGGTCTCCTGGCGGGGATCCAGTGGATCTGTGGAGGTTCGGGCACCCCGATGACCCTACCACCATCCATCGACCCCGATGACACAACTGCCGAGCTCCAATCGTCTCAGATCGAAGCTCAACTTCTCATCTCCGTCTCCACAACGAACTTGAAACCCTGAACTCCCACCATAATTACTTGCGGACACAGTAAGAGCACCCATACAGTACCCATACCCAACTTGCCAACATCTTCAGGCCCTTCAGTTCAACTGGATGTCCTGAAGTTGTGGTACATCACCCTAAACCCTTGAGCCACTTCTTCAACACCAAGTGGTGAGTGCGCAAAACGGCTCACAGCCATGTAGAGTCTCCGAGCCCAAATCCCTCGAGCCTGGTGCCCAAAAAGCCTCGAATACATGGCAGTGTCTTCACTTCACTGCGTCTTCGGAGTATGAGGCGCACCTGGTCCGGCTTCACCAGTCTGGGTCCATGTCGATGGGTTTTCTGCCACCTGGCCCAGCAGTTCTGTGGTCCCCAGACCGAACTCCACGCCAATGGTGAGGTCGTGGTCCGTCCGGAAGCGCTTGTCCTGTCGCCCCGGTGAGGCAGGCGCCGGGCGGTGGGGGGAATCGTCCAAAGCAGCGAGCCTGGCGCGGTGAGTCAAAAGCTGCCCGGAACTCACCCTGGTAGGTTGACCATGTCTGGTAAGTCTGTCTATTCCGTTCCTTTTTGGTGGTCAATCAAGGTCGCCTTTTAGCCCATTTCCAAGCCGAAAAACACGACATGCAACTGGGACTGGTGTTGTTTTCATGCCGAGAAAAAGGCAGAAGCTGCCTTGACTTGGGTGTCCATGTTGGCAGATGTTCCATACAATGGAGTGGCCGGGAAGAGTTCAGAACATGTTGCAAAGATTCTCCCAGACACGACCCATGGGACTGCCAATATATGCCGCCCCATTGACCCCTTTCAACCACCCAAATGTAGGCATATGATATATATGGCATACATGAAGTGTCTGGGTCTTATGAAAATGCAATCATTCGACTCATGCCGCATGCCGCCGGCATATGATGACCATATCACACATCAGGATGAGTCATCGCCACATGACTTCAAGGCAGTTTCAACATGTGGTCCCAACCCTCTTGACTCAGTGTTGGGGAGAACAACTCCCAGACCAAACGAATGGGACTAGCATATTTGCCGATCAGTTGGGGTGGTCATAGTTTTCCTTGGGATCAATGTAGGCATAAACCTTCCAGTCTGATGGAGGATGGTCTAGGAACATGACCCTCGCAGGTCTGCTTCGCGAATTCGATCGTCGAGTCATGTCGACTATACCAACTGTGCCCTATAAAACAACTTGGAGCTCAGGTTCCCAAGGAAGCGAACTGCATATTGAGGGATTCGGGCTTCTGGGGTGTCATTGTTGACGTCATCCTCATCCGCTCGAAGGATCCTACAGCTGCTTGAACCCAGCTGAAGTGCCTGCTCCTGTCGGCCTGTGACCTTCTTACAGTAGGTACTTGTAGCCTCCAAAGCGACTCCCTGGACCCTCCAAGTACATCAGAACTCTACTAGTACCTGATTTCATCGTCTCACACCATATCCCACTTTTGTAGGGAATGAACTGCGAACTCCAGGCTCATACTGGAAGGGTAGGCATAGAGCATGGTAGAGCCATATTTTTCTTGAGCACTTCATAAACCCCCTCCGACCCGGCAAACCAAACACGCGGTGTGTGTGTCCGTGAACTGCAGCAAAAGGCAAGACTTCCCCACCGCAGTGTCACCAATGATGATGTACCTTCCACCAAGGCAAGCTCACGTGGCCCATTTTGGGTTCGATTCGAGTGGAGTGAGGTAGTTGGAGCACCGTTCTCAGGGTTCCACAAGACTCACATGACCGGTTGCTATCGTCTTCTCCACCACTTCGCTCGCTCTGGGAGGACATGAAATCCATGAAATCCATGATGTTTCTCACTCCGACCAATCGTGTCACATCCAAGCAACACTGGGTTGGCTATAGCAGATCTGGCCCTCGAATGGGACAAACACCTTTGTCAGACATGATCCAAAGTTGCTTTTGGATGCTTTGGGTCCATCAGAATGACATGCTTATATGGCTATCTTCACCGCAGCCCACGAACGGGCCGGCCTGCGACACGGCGTGGCTATGTGCGAATCCGTGAACCAAATCGAAGATCGGTCATATGACTAAATAAGAATTCTGAATACCATTTAGAATACCAAGGGTTAGGGTAACTATTCAAATGGCATTGATGGCATATAATACACTCCTGAACCGGATACACTCCATGTTTAAGAGTTACCCTAACCCCTTGCTTGCTGTATCACCTTGCCCCTGCGGCTGATGTGGAGAAGGCAGCTCAACTCGCGAAGGCCCAATGCAGGAGTTTAGCTCAGACTGGGTGAGGGCTTCCACGTCGCGATGTCGTAGCGGAAGCCCTGCTGCAAATCAAAAGCCTCCAAAGGAACTGTAAGAGCAAGGCTTGAGAAAAGACACAATACAAATTCTTTCAACCACAAACCTTGGCAGTACTTCTCGTGTTGAGCCCGCGCGGAAGCTTCGGGTGCTGAACACTGAATACAGGGGCATGTACTTCTCTGCCTCACGTTTGGATATCGACTTGACTTGGTGTGTATTAATATAATATAGGACAATATAGGTTATCTGCCAACCCATGAGTTTGATTTCCCCTACCAACCAGGGGGTCGGAATGCCTAGGGGTATCCCCAAACCCATGAGTTTCCCCCAGGCCCAATGAGTTTAACTCGTCCCCATCCCCAACCAGGGGGTCGGGTCTCCCATGTCCTGGGAGGTCTCCCATTTCAGCGTCCCACACCCAGCAACGATGCATGATCTGCGTTGTGCGTCATCCGTTTCACGACTTCCAACGATGCCGCCACACCCAGACGACGACCACTACAGCATGATGGAGTTGGTGGAACTTTCCGACCGCTCGGTTGGACCGCTTCTGACTGGGGACTGGGGGAAGTAGCAACGACCATGGCCTGGTCTCGCAACCCTTCGTTCAGCCTTGCGAGTCGAACCGTCTGACAGGTCTGCGGAGTCTGCGGTTGCGCATCCTCGCGTGTGGTGCATCCTCGCGTGAGGTCAAGCGGTTCAGAACCTGGTCTGGCACGTGGTCTCCATGATTTAGGTCCTGCAGCGTATGTAGAAGCTAAGGGAAGTTACTGGCTGAACTGAAGAGGGTTACGTGAGGTCGAGACATGTGCTCGACGTGGCACATCAGGACTGGAGAGGAAGCATGAACTGATCACCAAATGTTCATCTAAATCCTACAATACACACCCATATATGCACCTAAACCTTGCCATGTCAGGTTCACCAGGTGAACACATCTAGGACTACATCTCATATAGCTTCATGATGCTTCATGCGATGGTCGCGAGCCAGGACCACGGAGCCAGGACTCCCGGTTCCCCCCATGAGCTTGAACATCATGATGGGCACTTGAAGAGGTATGCGTAAGACATGGCTCACTCCCTGGCCGTCGATCGTGGCCTGGCGGGCGCCCAGTGGATGCTGGAGAGACCGGTGAGAGGTTCGATTCAAAAGAGGATCCATGTTGGCGGGTGATTTGAAAGACACCATCTTGGTGGGTGAGGTCAATTCACACAATGATACACATTCTCGAAATGAGTCAAATCAGGAATCGGAAATTTGGGAAAAGAATCAGGTCACGAGGCTGGCCATGAAAGGATGTTTTTGGGACAGCCGCCATGTTTATTTATTATTTTTTGTGGGTGGTTTCAACTTCTATATTACAAAAATATGAGTCAGTGGGCTCACTCATCCCAAGCTTGAAAAGAATCATGTCTAAAAGTACAACCCATTCTTGTTGGGTTTTCATCTGGGGCTTTGTTCATCTGAAGACTTTCGGCCACTATATAGACCTCGACCTCGATCCAACAGCCTATCCGGAGGATGGTGGGGCGCCACGGCCTAGTTCGGGCCTAGAATCCACCGTGCAAAGAACGAAACCTGATGGCCCTGGTATCCCTAATCCATGGGACTGGAAGATCTCGGGAATCTCTGCATAGGGTTTTCCCCACCCCCCCTTTTCTCAGCAAATAGGGACCTGTCCCATGGATGCATTCGGCATCTGGTCTGTGTATGAACTAGCTAATGCATTTGGTCTTCGTGTTTGGTTTTCCTCAGACTCCACGTGGCGACCCTCACGCACTTGTGCGTGGGGCCCCTTGAGGTACAGCGAAACCTCGTTCGAAAAATACAAGGTGTCAAGTGCCAAGAACTGAACATTCACCACCTCATTTCAGGGCGAAGAGGTCGATTTGAGTACTATAGTTTCTGCAAGTTGTTTCCACTATGCACTCCAATGGGATGGTTTAGGGATTGGCCAAGACTCAAAGTCAACAAATGGATGTGGCGCAAAACACACTAACTCGGGACCCTGCCGGTCTTTTGGCTGTATAATGTAGACTGTTGATGCATAACCTCCCTATGAAGCAGGTTTTACATGTGTTTTTAAATCAACAGTCTACAGTCTACATGATGCGTGTCCAGTGATCGTCGCCTCTAGATACGGCACGCAGATCACCAATCACCACGAGTCTCGGCCTTTCCACCTGTCCGCACCTCCACCAGTGTGTTTGGGAGGCGTCAGAAGACACGGCAGCCTGTGACAGCGAGCTGTAACGGTGCCGGAAATCGGTGGAAGCGAGAGGAAAAGAGTCGAATCGGAGGAATGAGACGGCGATACCGACGATGAACCCTTGAAGGAAGGGTCTTGAAAGGTCTTCCAACACGACTGACAGCACAAAGACTCAGACCATCAAACTGACTGCCAGGTGTTTTTTGTCTGGAGAAGACCTCTTCCTTTTAAGCAATGGATGTTTCAAGCTGCGTTTGTTATTTTTCCACTGTTACATAGGTGCCAACCCCCTATCCAATCCCCTGTGTTCAACCCCTAGGTCAAGAACTTCCAAGTGAACACTTCTTTTGGACGGCTATTTAAGTCAAGCCCATGTATTCAAAAACGCATCTGTTGCAAATGAAGGATGCACTAGACATGGGTAGTCGATTGAGTTCCATATGGGGTCAGTTTAGGGCCTGTGGCTCGTGTAACCCAATGGAACTCCTTCCTGGTACTTCCTCCCCCTGGCCCCAAAAAGCCTTCCAAACTCATTAAAAGAGTTCGGTTGACCTGGTTTTGTACAACAATGGTTGTTTGGCAAAATCATGAATCCATAAAATCAATGGTAATTTGGTTGAAGCCTATAGGGTCCTGCTCAGTGGGTCCTTGCTTGTAGGTTAGTTTTGAGCAACACGCAACAAACAAGCCATCGGTCGACGATCCCCTCTTTCTTAGAGGGGTGTGTGGGCAGGTCAGCAATCGTTCCAATCATAAACCACAAACTGATAATCCTTTGGAATCTCTTTTGATGCTTCACAGGCACCCGGTTCCTCCCAAAGACCGTGGCTGAAGTGCCGCTGAAGTGGCCTACAGCAAACCGCACAGGATGCCGAGTTTCGGGCCAAAACGGCAGTGAGAGCAAGTCACAATGAGCGCAAACATCAGCAAAACCATGCGGTACCTTGCTGCTTTCAACTCACTCGAACAAGAAGGTTAATGGGCTCAACCAATTTCAAGCAGAGGTTGAGAATCAGAAGTATCTGAAACCACAATCCAGGTAGGCTTTAAAGCTTTAAACCTTGATCATGAGTTGCGAATGAGTTCATGTCCACTTATATAATCATCCATGTTCTAGCTCCTATGTGATCGAACTTGGAGGGTCCAGGTACAGCCATTTGTGGGTTCCAAACCCCAAAGAATTTGTCAAAAAGAAATGGATGGCCCGGCCTGATGAGGCAAATATGCTGTCTCTGCAAGTGAGAAGGCAACAGTGTCTCATGTCCTGAGGTTTTTGTATGGTACAAGTACTACAGCTTCAGTATGCGTAAGGGTGATCCCATGGCCAATTCTGAATCTATCAGACTGGCGTTCAGTCAACTTAAAAAGACTGCTGGGACGCTTGCCTGATGAAAGGTTTCAGTATTGATGATGACTATGGACTATGAGCTTCAGGGATTCTGGGGTCTTTTTGCCGTGGAGTGGCTCCAAACTATGTATATATACATATGTCACACTGTGCCAGCACCCGACTTCACAGGTCACCACCTGCGATGCCCTTGGTGGCCTGCATTTCAGCCACCATGACTCCGAGACCTGTTGATCGCTTCTTGGGGTCCTGGTGGTCCTGGTGTATGTTTATTGATCAATGACCTTCATGTGCGCCCGGCATCACTTTTTCGAAGAGGAAGAGGCGGCCGGTCGCGTCGCAGCGATGGTAGGCTCTGGTTGGTGGTGGGGTGCAACTGGTGTTTTACAGTGATTCTAACATGAGACTACTAAACCACAAAAAAACAAACAGGAAAAGCCACACTAGATGGGGGTACATGTATTGCTTGTATTAAGGTCGACCTCTCTTTTGATGCTCTTGGATGGTTAAAGAGAACAAATAACACCAAGACAGAGGTTTGCAAACGTTTTACAGAGCGACATGATCCATCCGGCATCATCTGACCCCTGCTTTGATGGGACAAAGAAAGAATGGTTTGCACTCTACATAAGGATCATGCAGGTTCGTTCAGGCATGTAGAGACTCTGGTCATTCTTCCCCATGGTCCGCGTCTGACGAAGGGCGTCTGTAACGAAGGAGTTCGCCCTAGGACCCTCTGCCACTCGGCAAAAAACAAGAGATCTTGGATCAAAACCTGGGAACCCAATAAGGCTTCGTGAGGGAACCCAAACTACTTGGAACCCACTAAGCCTCTTTAGTTGTGAAAATGAGCAGATTCCTCTACAAGGGATGTCAATCTACCATAGATTGGCAAAAGTCCCCACCTGCACAAAACAGGAGAGCTTAACGTTCTTGTTTCGGGAGTTCTGCTCAAAGACTTCTCCACCAAACCACCAAAGAGCATATAAACGGCTTGAAGACGTGGCAGGTCATGCTTGTTGGGGAATTCATAACCAAAAGCATGAGCTCCTGCGGATGGAGTAGGACCCCTCTAGAGAGGCTTTGCATGCTTCAAGGTTCTTCGATTCGATCTCTCCAAAGACCCCTAACACAACCATCACAACCTGTGCTGGGGCAGGTTCTGTGACTCCTGAGCAACAAACAGCCCAAAACGGGTATGTGTGTGTTTTCTTTGTTATTCAGGGGTCACTGTAAGATTGATGTTCCAGTCCCATGGAGTGTCTGGGATATACAGTAGCATTTTGTTTGTCTAATCTGGTGTCCCATGAGTCTTTTTCTGGGTCCTCTATTATTTTAGTGTGCACCCATACATGCTTTGCATGAGCGAAACCCTGTTTCTGGGCGAATACCGTCTCATTGGGCCCCCAAACCACCAACAGCCACGAACAGGTCGCATGCCCCTCACTCGGTAATCTGCGTGAGGAGATCGGAAATTGCACGGATGTTGGGGTAGTCGAAGACCTCAGCAGGTCTGACAGTCAATGAGGATCGGATGGGTAGGATGGCTACCTAGGTCTACCTCCCAGCAACAATCATCAATCATAGAGGTGGATGGCATGGCCCCTGTAAAGACCGACATCTCTACAAACAAAGACTGATGCCGTCCACGTTTCCGCATGTGGCCAACAGGGTTTAACGGTTCCCTCAACGGTCGACACCGGTCACCGCCAAGTGGCCAAAGTGCTGGGAAGCTCCACGCCTTCGAAGGTACTCCCGAGCTTGTTGCGGAACCTGAGAGTTTATGAGCAAACACATGCCCCAGGAGAATTGGGTTGACCGATGAACTGGTGAATGGTTGGTGGATGTTGGTGGGTTCAGAATGTTGCTGAACAGTTTTAGGGTGCTTCATCTGGGTTGCTGCACAGATCCTGTAATGAAATGCTTGATTGCGAAGATTTGCGAAGCACGCTCTTGCAATGATTCTGCAATGAGGCACTTTGGCATATTCCCGTTGAACTGAAATCTTTGTTGCTTGAAATACTCTTCCAATACACCGCCCTGCATCAACCAGCAGGCCACTCAGTTGTGTTTTTCACGGCCCATGAAAGCTGTCACGCAAGCGAAGTGTCAAAGCCGTGTCTGGTTTCGGTGCACGGGCGAAGTGGATTGATTGATCTCTCAAACGCTGGTGCTGATGGCGCAAGAAAAGCCCTTAGTCGCCTTAGTCTTGTGTTTCTGGTTGTCCATGGTTGAAAGTAAACGTTGGATAACGTTGGTACATTATGATGACATTCCCCTCCAGCAAGCCGCGCAACTCCTTTCAAAACGAGACGTCTTGCAAGGCGATGGAACTCCATGTCATATGGGAGGATGCAAGTTGAATAGGCAAATGGCCAAGAACTGCACATCGCCCTGCTGGGCCATGCGCAGTGGTGGGGTGAGAACTCCAGGGTACGGGTACGGTGTCTTCTGGGAACCGAAAGGTACTGGTCCGTGGGTGCGAGAAATGGTGAGGCTACGGAAATTCAGTG